GTCGTTGTCGTTGTTGTCGTTGTCGTTGTTGTTGTTATCGTTGTTGTCGTTGTTGTTGTTGTTGTTGTTGTATATGTTGAAATTTGTTTATGTTGCTGTGGTTGTTAAACGCAATGGTCTTTAACGTTGCGGTTTTATGTGTAACTGTTGTCACCATACATTCCAGAGTCTGCCTTAGATACTATAACAATAATGATAATAATAATTGTTGACGATGTTAATGTCATTAATAATGTTCTTGTCAATGTTGTTGCTGTTATTGTTTTGACTGCTGTTGATGTTTTTGTTGTTGTTGATGTTTTTGTTGTTGATGTTTTTGTTGTTGTTGTTGTTGATGTTTTTAGCGTTACCGATGTTATTGTAGAGGTTATTGATGCATTTTCATCTGTAGAAATACTTATACAACTACACAACTGCTACCGCCATTACTTATACTACGATATTTATTCTTCGATTCATCATTGAATTTTATTTAAGACGGAAATTTTCCATCTTCTTTCTTTAAATTCAGGGTTTCAATGACTAACTTATTATTATTATTATTTTTATTATTATTATTATTTTTATTATTATTATTATCATTATTATTATTGTTATTATTGCTTTTATTGTTAAATATATGCATGTTTTACGCACGATTATATGCATATTTTTTGGTTTAATATATATATATATATATATATATATTACACTATTTTTGGTATTATTGTTTTTCTTGCTGTTATTTCTTCTTGTTTACTATGTTATTATTGTTATTGTTGTTATGTTTATTATTATTATTATTAAGTAAGTATAGTATTATATTAACTTTTCAGTCAATCGATCAATCAATCAATCAATCAATCAATCAATCAATCAATCAATCAATCTATCTATCTATCTATCTACCTATCTATCTATCTATCTATCTATCTATTCAACATAGTGTTAGTCATTGCTAAGTCATCTATTAATATTATCATTTTTATTATTTTACCGTAATTATTGTTAATAATAATAACAATAATAGTAATAATAATCTTTGTATTATTGTTTTTATATGTATATATGGTTTAATATGTTATGGTAGGTTTGAACTTTACATGATGGCTTTATATATATATGTGTGTGTGTGTGTGTGTGTGTGTGTGTGTGTGTGTATGTGTGTGTGTGTATGTGTGTGAATTCTCTCTGTCTTTTTCTTCTTATGTCTGTTGGTTATTGCAACATAACAAAATGATCACATACACGCGATCTTATTGAATAGTAATAATAATAATAATAATATTATTATTTTTATTATTATTGTAATTTTTATTATTATTCTTTGCTTGACACTGCCGAAATGTTTGTTTTTCGTTGTTTGAATTTTTTTTTTCTAGAGAAACATTTTTTTTCCATTTCACTTCAGAGTGCCTTATCCACTAATGCAAACCTATATTATCATCATTATAATAATTATTATTATTGTTATTATTATTATTATTATTGTTCATCATTGTTCATTATTGTTATTAATGTTATTATTGCTTGATTGTTATTTTTATTACCATTGTTTCTTGTCTGTCTGTCTATTCAGCATATGGTTTAATCATTTTTAACCATTTTTTGTTGTTTTTTTTTCATAAAATAAATTTATATTTATGATTATTTATATTTTTATTACTAACAATGATAATAATATTATTATTCTTGTTGTTATTATACTTGTTCTTTTTTTTATTATTATTGATTTTCTGGTTTTCCCCGCTATTTGGTTGGTTTCGGTTTTAGTTCGTTCCATCATCTTATGGTGCTTGATC